TCTGTTTGCCTCCTACTTTCAAACCAAATTAAACTCTTTCTTTTATAAATTGCTTTGGTCATGGTATTCTGTCATAGCAATGGAAAAGAAGCAATACCAAAGAGGTCTTAGCGGCTGCAAGTGGCTTGCTGCTCAGGCCAGATCTAGCCTGTTATTCCTTTGCCCAGCTCACAGACACCAGCAGCATCCATGTTGCTATGATTTAATGGTTATGTTTACTGCACCACAAACTGTGGCAGCCTTTGTTCCTTTTAGGAATTCCTCAAGCAGCAGAAAACACTTGTCTCATGTTCATACAACCATAGATAGTGTCATGCAAATGCATTCACGCATGAAGCATATATGCACACGTGAACATGCACCATACATAACATGTACATATGTACCCGCTGTGTGCATCTGTATGCATGTACACACACATATATGAATGTGTCTACACAGAATACACTGAACAGACATATGTCAGCTGTGGCTGTGTGGACACTTCTGTGTGCACATAGCCCCTACAGAAAGCTCACTTCGCAGTTCTCTGTGGTTTCTGAGGCCTCAGTGTTACACTGCATCGGGATCCCATCACTCAGGGAAAGGCAGTTGGTCTGTATCCATCACCCCTACCAAATGCCTTTGGAGACTGGCAACTGTCATAGTGTCAGTGTTGGTGACCCTGCACAAAGGGATGTAGGGACGACTGTGAGTTCAGGACATAATGGAGCAGAGAAGGGTGTTGGACCTCTGCCTACTGCTGTGACGACTGTGATCACAGCCCCTTCACATGACTGAAATGCTATCCCATGCTTCCCCCAATCTAACACAGATGATGAGACCATGGCCCTCACAAGTTCACCTGCTCCAGAGTCCACGAGGAAGGACCAAATCCCCAAAACCACTACAGTGAAACCATCACTCCTAGCTGGTCACAGTGGAGCATCCACGCCCCTCAAGTGACTGTTTTATAAAGCAGTACTGCCCTGGGAAGTATGTCTCCTGGGAGTAATTAACAACCCACTGTTCAGCTTGTCACCGCCTCAGAAAAAGTTGATCCTCAGCCACTGTGATGGGAATGGCGGGCAAGGTCGAAGTGGCTGGCCCAGCACGCCTGCTTGGATGTTTTACCACAGTCTCCTTAGCAATGAGTAAACCAGATGTGAGGGCAGCATTTGCACACACCATGCAACATGGATCCCGTGTGCACATGTATACAGTGTGCCCTGAGCTCATGGGCATTGCAGTGGGCACCTTGTTTCCACATGTGTGATCATCTGTATGCTGTGTGTTGCTCAAATGTGTGTGTGGGAGCATCCGATGACAGGGGTGTGGCAACACGAAGCAGGCAAATCTCAAAGCAAATAAAAACCTGGCTCAGATTTACAGGGCAGCTATTTCCTTCCATGATCAGCTGTGCTGTGAGTTAAATTAGCCGATAGAAATGCATGGGGTGGAAGCTTCTGCCAGCGAGCCACCTGTAAATCATCCATCAGCCAAAACAGTCCCCGAGCACTCAGTCTCAGGGCCAGGGAACGGGGAGGCTGGATGGAGCGCAGAATTCTGTTCTGGCAGAAGCAGCCCGATCCCCTCTGCTGGCTCAGGATGACAGCTGCCGAGAGGTCTCACAGCCGCTTGGCCTCACAGGCATCCAGTAAGATTGGACGACGAGAGAAGCCGCGATGGGAGGCTGGTCCAGATGTGGGAATGGGGACAGCTACAGTTTGAGTCAAGCACAGGCAAGCGTGTCTGTCTGGGTTGTAGCCTTTGGGAAGTGGGGAGGAGTAGGGTAAAGCCTGGGAGGAGACGTCGAGAATCCCAAGACCTCTATGGCACAGAGTCAGAGGTTAAGAAAAATAGGTCACACAGGGAAGTAGCTTGCTTAGATACCATCGCCAACAGGAAAGTTGGAAGAGGGAGGTCATACGGGCCAGGGCTGGAGCAGCTCCAAATGAGCTTGCTTTGCTGTACCATCAAGTGTCTGTCACTGTCCGTGTTCTCTCTCACACACGTGTGCATTCCTCACATTAATAGAAACCATTCACACTTATGTGCATTGTGAACACACGTGCACTAACATGTGCCCTGAATTGAGCAGAAAACTGCTTCTCAGTTTGAGGTCCTCAACTACTGTACCCTGTCCAAACAGACAGCTTTCTTCTTGACTCTGCAGCCAAAAAGACCACTGCAGGAGAAAAATCGTCATACCATATGTAGGTTCCATAACCTCCTCAAACGTCACTGGAAACTGGGGATGAAGTATTCAAATAGAGATTTCTTATTCAAACCACCACATGCGAACAAATCTATGAACCCCAAACAAGGCACCAGTGACAAACCAAAGAAGCAGTTTCACCCAATTTAGGGAATGAGTGCATTTAATTGGAGTCATTTACTGTTGCATGGGCTGCTTACGGCTAGGAGGGGTCTTATGAGCCACTTCACTGGCCTTGTGAGTTCTCTCCTGAATGCAAGAAGAAACGATAGCAGGCCTAGTCTTGTTAGGGTGTTGGGTGGGGGATCACAGATGCCCTGGTTTCAAACCAGCCATGCCCATGTCAGGCTCAGAGGACAGAGCGAACATCGTGCCCAGTTTCCTCCCAAGGAGGTATGCTCAAGGCTTTGCTCCGTTTCTGCTGGTGTCATCTTTTCCTGACTTCCAGACTTGCTCTTCTGAATGTCAACTCTGTGAGCTTCCTTCCTCCTTCCTTCCTTGATTTTCTTCCTCTTCCTCCTTCCAAGCATTGTCTTGCTCTCTTGTCCAGGCTCTCATATTCGGATGAAGAGGATTGTGGGGAGTGGAGCAGCAACCATTTAACTTCTTTCCCACATGGGGACCCCGTTTTCCTGGCAGCATCCCAATGGTGTCCATCCTTTCCTCTGTGGCCCCAGCATCTTTGGGTCCTCCTCAGCATTCTTGGCCACCTGCAAGCCCTCTTCCATTCTCTGCCTTCCTAACTCACCCTGGGGGTGGGGAGTTTACATTCTCAGTCATTATGGCTGTTGGGCATCTCTGCTCACACTAGTGTGGGTGTTCGTCTGGTTCTCCAGGATGCCCAGCTACTCCCCACAATCTAATAATCATTTAAAGACAGGTTTTCAACATTTCTGTCTCTATACATCTCTATTTTCTCCTCTCCCCCAATTGTATCTTCACTCATTGGGTGCTTGATATCATTCCCACCTACAACTAAGCCACAGGATAACCTTTCTCCCCATATACCCAGCTGCTTTTGCTGCTTGGCGGTTCCGTGGTATTTTCCAGAGATACTGTATTAACTCTATGCTTTATATTTGAATGACACTATAAACAGTATTCCTGACATTTTTCCCCCTTCGCTGCTTTCCGTAGATTTTCTCTAATGTGGAAACCCTGGGATCCCTACACTGGCGCGGCAGGTTATTTTGGGTCTCTGAGTTCCCACTTGTCTGATTCTCCATCTTCTCTTTTTCCTCATCCTTCCTGCTGGTTGGTGCCTCTGTTCTCAATGGCTTGTGGTGGAGGCAGATGCATAGCCTACTCTGTACCACACAGCATGTGGCCAATCCTCTTGTAAGGCTTGGGTCTTGAGGGGAAGTTTCGTTTTATCAGATTGTTTCTGCACCCACAAAGAAAATATCTCTTCTATCAACCATCCTGGGAGTCTCCACAAAAGACTGCCACTTGCCTGCCCATGTGATTGCTGTGGGTCCGACCCACCTGCTGAGTGGATTCCTGGGGTGACAGCAGCTGCTGTGCAGCATGGGTCCCCACCTGACACCCTGTCCCAAGAGGAGGAGCCAAAGGCAGCTGCAGTCCTGTCTCCCTGCCCACCTCCTCCCTCAATAAAACCCTGCCACCAAGCCTCTGGTCAGTGGGCTGTGTTGTGACCCCTTCCTCCCCCTGCCCCCGCTTCTCTCCTCCCCCCCTCCACAAGACCTCGCATCCCCTCCTCCTTCACAGCCTCCTCCTTTGCCTGCCTCACAATAGGTCTCCCCATTGTCTCACGGGGGCGTCATTACTGTCCCGCCGCGTGACATCATAATAGGCTGCTGTCCCGGGAAACAAAGCCCTTTGGAGACACCAAGGAGACACGTCGTGTTTATGTCGTCACTGACTAGACAGAAGTGGAAATAGAGGGGGCAGAGTAAACATCTGTAGACGGGGAAGAACAATGCCATTTGTCCCCTTTTATTTCTGAAGCTGCTGAAATTATGCCTTGCACAGCACAGAAATGGAGCGTGTGTGTGCGTGTGTGTATCTGTGTGCGCGCACGCGTGCGCACTCACGCATGTGCAGGTGGATTAATAAAAAACCCATTGAAATGCAAATTGAGGACCCCTCCTCCAAAACAAGCTGATCATCACCCCATCCTCCCAGGATACACAGAGGCCCACCAGCAGGAGACAGGACTCGGGATCTCTTGCCTGAATGGCCAGAGAGGAGGCATGCTGCAGGTCACCGCAGCTCAGATGTGAGAGACCTGTGACCAGTAACTAGGGGTGCGGATTGCAGTTTTGAGGTACCTCCACATCTTCACCATTTCCTTCTTTATTTTGGAAAAATAAACTCAGAGGTTGTTTCATTACAAAACGTGCAAAATACGTATCATGCAACAGTATGGCACTGCAGGAGCAGCCTGGAGAGCAGGTATGTTCTAGTGGCTCTTTCCTTCCTGGGGCTCAATCTCATTCTTTACAAAGATGCTTACTGGCATCAAGAAACAGTCAGCTCAGCATTACAGGAAGAGGGTCTGGTTAGATGTCAAAGCAGAAAGGGAAACTAAGCCTAGCCTGTGGCTGCTCCCAGGTTGACCGCATCAAAGTGGGGGAAGGAATGGCCAGTCCCAAGAATCCCTTCGTTAGTCCCTCTGGTGGATGCTATGCTAAGGTTGCAGACACCACCCAGCATCTCCACCCACTAGCTTCACAGATGAGTCTGTGCTGCAATGTGAATAGTAACCAGCATTTAAGGATGCACCTGGTAGTTAAGCCTAATTTATTCTTTCTGTTTGAAGGGATATCAAACAATGCTTTCTTCTGCCCTTTGTTGAAGATTAACTGTTTATGACCCTGCCGTGTGACATGGGGTGATAAATGCCTTTTCCTTCCAGTGCACGTTAGTGGAGCGCTCAGGCATAAAAACTTGCCTGCTCTTCCTCCAAGGGGCCTGGAGCCTTGCTTGTGTATAAACCACGCAGACTTCACTTCCCGCGAATGCATGGGACATTTTGATCCTTGCCAACAGTGCCTCTTCCAGCTGAGTTTGTCATTCCCTAAAGAGAGGCAGAGGGAAAGTAGAGGGTTTGTTGGGGATTGTGCACACACATGCATGCACACACAAACATGCATGCATGTATGCATAGTGGCATCTGCATATGCACTCATGTTTATATGTGCATTTAGACATTGTGCTCATGCTCACACACATGCATCCAGGCACCTTCTCATCTTCACTCCAGAGTACATGTGTACTCCGACACTTGCACACATGCTCACATGCATGCATTTGGACATCTGCACATAACGGCATAGAACCCGACTGATTTCTACTCCAAGGACATGGCGGGGGCGGGGGTCACTTTTCCATAACAGTGCATGCTCAGGAGCAAGAGTCTAACAAGGCAGGTCCAGGGTGAGGCTTGACGCTAGCAGACCCTAGCAGGCAGGAACTCTGCTTCCTGTACAATCATACTGGCTACTAACACACAAGGTTTCCAACCTTGTCTGTGTCAAACTGAACTCAACTATGGGTATGCCACCACCCAGACAGCTAGGAATGCTTTGCTACATCACAGCAGGTCCATATCCTCATTTAAAATTTTTCTAAAAACACCCAAAGGCTGCCATGAAAGACTGAGCAAAGCCTGGGCTCCTGGGCCCTCCCCGTGGATCCAGCCTGGAGGTGGTATTGGCAGCTGCACACCTTGGTTCCTTCCTCCACGGTTTGAGCCTCATGGTATGCTTCTTCTGTGTTGTGTGGCCTGGGTGGGTGGGTGTGTCCTTGAGTATGGCACGATGCAGCAGTTCCTTGTGAATGCCAGGCTGCATGGCAGCACACAGACCAAGGACGAGGATGTAGGAGGGGCAAGGCTGAATGTCAGAATGCCCCACATGCTCCCAGGCACATTTGCTTTGCTTCTCTGCCAAGTGGGAGGCTGCTCCCAGCACTGTTGCTGCCACCCACTCCCTAGGCTCTTTGTTTCCGGCACGTGCCATTTCGTGCCACTTGGCAACGCTACAGAGGACCCCACACCACGGCTCTGCCCGGTGAGCAGGGACTTGTGCTCAGGGCTCACAACAGAGATCCTGGACATCTCAGCTATAGTCTGATCACCTGCACCTTTTGTTCAACCCTGAGAACGAGGCATAGATATAGCCTGCCTTTGTAAGAAAACTATCAGAGGCCCTGACCTCCTCCCACAGCTGAGGGTGATTCTCCTGAGAAGCCACAGGGAGGGCAGCAGGGCAAGGGCCAGGCAGGATGGTAAGGACTATCTGCAGCCCTTCCTCCATGGCCCAAACCTGAAGCTGAAGATGTCTGTTCATGAGAGTACAGAAGACCTGACTGGCTAACACAAAGCCTGTTCAAGGCTTTCTTTAAAAATGAATTTTAAAAAAGGCACACTTTAAGTTAATAATGAACTTTGAAGCTGCCAAATGAATCATTTGGAAAAACCATTTTCTGAGTTCAAGATCAGTGACTCTGGATTAGCCTAATTGGTCTGTAACTTGAGGATTTAAGACTAAAGGCGAATTTGGTTCCTAAGAATTGATTATGTAATGTCCAGCAGTGACTTCCCCGGTTAGGGAATAGTCTCCTCTAAGACGTGGGTATCATGGGATGCTGTGGGCTTTGGAATCCACTGGCCAACCCCTGGGCAGGAGACAATAAGACATGGAGGCCAAGTGCCCCAACTTGACCTTTCTCGTGGACTGAGGGGCTTTCCTTTCTATTCCGGGTGCTGTAGAAGAGACCAGAGAGTTGCAGAGAACAGAAATTAATTGCTTATGATCCTGGAGCCTGGGAAGTCATGGTGGGTAGCTGGCAGACTGGGGAACTCTAGGTCTGTAGAATCTTGTATCTTGCTATAGCATCTTCTCTGCTCTCAGAGATTGGAAGGGACAAGGGGGTGCTCCATAGTCTGTTTCTGTGTGTACAGATTTATGTATTCTGGGTTCCATGTGTCTGTGGACTGATGAGATGTATGGCCTGCTTTGTGTGTGTGACTACGGTGTATATGTGTGTTGCACATGCATGTAAATGTGTGGATGTGCATGTGGAAGCAAAAACAGGATGTCAGGTGTCTTCCTATGTCACTCCTTCTTATTACTTTGAGACAGGGTCTTTCTCTGAATGAGAAAATCACCATTTCAACTAAACTGGCTGGTCAGAAAACTCTTAGCATCTGTCTGTCTCTGATCCACAGTGCGGGGGCTCCAGGCAGGCCCAGCAACGCCTGGCTTTTTACGTACAGGTTGGGAGCCCAAACATAGGTCTTCACGCTTACAGAACAAGAGCTCTTACCCACTAAAATATCTCCCAGCCTTGATGTGTGGTCATCTGCTTCTGATTTTTTTTTTTCATATAGCATCATGTCTTGGAGGCTCAGGCCACATGGCAATACTCCATGCCTGTTTATGAGGGAACAACGTTTCTCTTTACACAAACCTACATCTTGTCTGTCCACACTTCAGCAGATGGGCATTTAGACTGTTCTCACCCCTAAACTTTTCCGAGCAACCTTGCTCTGTGCACTGTGGAACTGTGATGTCACATGACATTCCCATTTTTAACCTCTTGAGGAGCCGTGAGCTTCGCCAAAGCAGTTGCACCATTTTACATCCCCGTCGGTGCTGCGGAGAGATTCTGAGCTTCTGTTTCAAAGATGTTAAAAATAGGTCTGGCAAAATGGCTCAGCCCGTAAAGGTGCTTGTCATCCGGGGTTTGATCTCCAGGAGCCACGAGCTCGTACAAGCTGTCCTATGACTTCCACACATACAATGTGGCACACATAAGCCCACACGCATAAATAAAAATTTAAATGTAATGAAAAATTAAATTGCTTGCGGGAGAAAAATGGCCTCCCTCCCTGTGATAAGACACATTGCTTTCCTGACCCCTCCTGGCACCTATGGGAGCAGTCACAGTCGTGAGCAGAGGGACAGTGTAGATGCAGGATCCAGGAAGGCACAGCTGTGCACTGTTCCTGGTGCTTACACTCATGCTGAGGATAGTTTGGCTGGTTGTGAAGTTAGGACATCACAGCTGGATTTGTCCATAGGTGACCTACACCCACCTACTTTCACTGCACACAGGTGAGAACTCAGGTCGAGAGACTGGGTCTCCTCAGCCGGACAAGGTCTGAAGGGTGTGCCACCTGCACACCTTTGAAAAGACGAGTGGACATTGGCCTCTGACAGAACTAATGTGAGAACAGTCTAACCAGACGGAAAGGAGCCCCACGAAGGTGAGTGAGAGGTTGTCCGCATAGGGCTGCTGGAGCACAGTACAAAATAGCTCTCCATCTCTCCCTGTGGCATTTGTGTGGGTCTAAATACGGTACACAGTCACCTCCGTTCTCTACAAACACCCAGCCTGCTTCTGCTTCTCAGTATCACGGCCTCTCGGGAGTGAAGGCAGGTGTGCCTCCACGGGAGGAACTTCTGATCTGAGCAGGGCAGCATCCTTCTGTCCAGCACACAGGTCAAGTCTCCTGGAGAAAACAACTGCATTTGAACCTGACATATATCAGCTACCTTGAACCAATTGAGCTCATGGGAACCAGGTTACCAGGGAAACCATGTTGGAAGGCTGACTAGCCAGGGAAACGCCGTACTCCTCGCCTGGAAATTCCTGCAGCCTCACTGGCTGCAGCGGAAATAACTAAAGTTAGTTGAGGAAATTAGTTTAAATTAAAGACTGTTAAGAGGATAAAAACACAAGCTACAGACAGAGGGACAACATCAGCAAACTATGTACCAATGGACACACAGAGGGATGCTCAAAGCTCAACAGTGGAAAACAAGCAACCCACATGGAAAATACGGAAAGGCCCTGAAGAGTCATCCCACCCCAAAAGACTATCCAGAGGAGAAATGGGGCACCCTGAGGTCGTCAACATCAGCCGCCAGGGAATGCGAGTAAGACCACCGGGAAGCTCCACTTGCCCCAGAGTGACTGGAATAGAAACAAAGGCAGAGCTGTGTCTGACAGCACACGCAGAATCCCTGTGTTCAGGAGGGAAGCAGGAGGATTATGAGCGGGAGGTGAGCCTAAGAAGCAGACGAGGTGGTGGAAGGGTGGCCACTCTTACGATGCTGGTGGGAGTGTAAATGCTCTAGTCACGGCAGAAACCCGAAGCAAGTCTGTGCATCTGAGCAGCTCGGCAGCTGCAGTTCTGAATTTTAATTCAGAGAAAGGGAAAGTTGTCCAGCCATTGATAGCAGTTACGTCATTAACATCCAGAAACTAGAAATAATGTCCTATAGGTGATGGGTAAAGAATTGTGTTACAGCGCATCATAGCCACTGTTCAACTCTGGAACAGAGGCCACTGAGGCAGAGCACAAAGAGATCTCATGGGGGTGCTGAGGGGGAAAAGCTGTTCTCAGAGCTTGAACCCAGCCCAGATCTGGCTCTCTTGTCTCATAATGCTTAGTATACAGAGTTGGGGGGACACATAAGCACCTGAGGGACGGGATGTGCCTGTGAAGGGTATGTAGGGGTGACGGGGAGGGGAGGAAAGCCTGGTAGCTAGGGGAAACTTTAGGTCTCACTGGTGTTGGCTGTCACGTAGAAAGGCCAGATATACAGTAGGGACATCACATCCAGGGTGTGGCGTAGGACCACGACTTCCTAAGTGATATTGAGGGACTTGGGTGTGATACGCAGTGGACATTGCCGGGCCGTCTGTCCTCAGCCTCCTGTGAGTCTATCATTATTTCAAAATAACAAGTTTTTTTTTTTTTTAAGTGACAGCAGGCATTGCTTTGTTCCAGACAAGTAAGACGCCGAGCCCCTCTCAGCATGTGTCACGAGAGGCCCTTCTGCCGCCTGTAATCTGGGCATGCGGCTTGGCAACTGTTATTCTGGTATCGTTTTATCTTACATTCAAAGTGATTAAAAAGCCTCATTGTCATAACAGCAGTTTTTAAATCTGTTTGCACAGCAAGGCAGAAGAAACGGCAATAGCCTTGACAGAGAAAGGGAAGCAGGGAAACCGTCTCCCCGCACACAGTGCTTCCCAGGGTCAACTTCCAGACTACAGCCCCGG